ACATTGTAAAGGCATATGGTATGAATCAGGCCATCACATATTAAGCTGTGGTTCTTTGGGCAAAGGGTGTTATGTGAATACAGAAAAATATACAACATTACTTGGGTTTGCAGGGTGTGTACATTCCGTCATGATGTCACCATCTCCCACTAGAGTGGTGAAGGTTGGTGTGAGGGCTGAAACTGCCAGCTAGAAGATGGGTGACTGGGTGGGTGTGGCTAGCTTGACACACACACACCCAAACTGCTGGCATGCTTCCTCTTTGCATTGGGTAGACCGGGGTGAAGCTACGTTGGCCTGATCTTTCCTCTTCGCATTGGGTAGACCGGGATGGCCCTGCGAGCCAGATCAGACCACATCACAGGCCGAATCTGGCCTGCAGCCCTTGTGTTTGACACCCCTGGTATACAAGGTTTCCTGCCTGAGCAGGGGGTTGGATTAGAAGACCTCCAAGGTCCCTGGTTATTCTGTTAGAAGAGTCTCTGGCTAGATGTTCTGCCCCAGCTCTGGATTCCCGAGGATATTGACACACACCAACGGTCCTTATCAAGTTGATTAAGTAGCAAGAATAAACCAAAGTCCGGCAAAGGTTAGCAACCAACCCAGAAAACAAAATACGATAAGACTTTTCCAAAAATGCTCTGATGATAATTACAAGTTGTTTCCAACAAGAAACTTACTAACGGTGTGTGACTTAAATAGGCTAAGGGAGTGGCCAATTATCCTCAAGCCTTACTCTCGAGGAGACCTCCTCCTGAGTAGCCACTCCTGCCTTTTGGCAGCCCTGCGTGCTCGAGCATTGAGGAGAGGCTCCTCCACTTCGCTCTCTCCACTTGAAGGAGCCTCTGGAGGTTCTGAAGGCCCTGGCTGAGTCTCTGCCTCTGGCACCACATCCTCTTCAGCCTCCTCACTGTCTGACGCGAGCTCCGGCTGTGCAGGCTGCTGGCGCAACACCACACCAGCCTCTTCGTCGTCGGGATCAACCACGATCCGCGCAGGCCGCTGGTGTGCCACAACACTAGATCAGACAGCTACCAAAAGCACTGTGCAACCGCTTTCAACACCCAGGGCTGATCACAGGCAGTAAAATCTTTTATTTTAACTCCCATAAGAGCAGGAAAAGAATGAATTTAAAGCTTGGAGCTGGCATAAAACTACAGGTCAATCCCTAGATTCTCTGGGTTTTGCAATTCCAATACATCTCTGCTGTAAACACATCTTGGCTAAGCCACGTCCTTGAATCTCCTGCTGCAGGGTTCACAAGTACATGCTTACATTCCTTGAGAGAGATTGATTGCCACACTCAGTGAGAAACTCTTTAACAGGTTACAGGACTTATCTTGCACACATCCAAGCCCTCGGGATCTGACACGAACGGAGTTTGGCATTCTTCATTTCCCTTTCATCGAACTTCCCATTCTTTCACCTCAGAGAAATATCCCAAGTGAGTGAAAATATTTCCTCCTTCAGGACAAAAGGACTTTGTCCCCGACAACAAATATGCTACAATGAATGGAATAGGACTCCGTAGGCAAGGGGAGGATTTTGTGATTGCTAATCCCCTGATATGGCTTCTGTTTTTATCTTATCCTCTGCTATTTGCTTGTAAAGATCTACCATCCTCTTTTAACTAAGTGGCCTCCATATTCAGAATGGAAAACAAAAAGCAGGTGGTGTTTTTTTTTTAAAAGAAAAAACAACGACGGCACCTGCATGTAATTCAAATTTGAATGTGCTGAAAAGTGTATTTATTTACTTAATAAATGATTTATACGGCTGCCCAACAGGCACAGGGTGACTCAGGGTGGCGTACAGCACTAAATATTTACAAAATTAGAACCCCAGAAACTCCCACCCCTTGAGACTCTGACAAATACAATCATATAAGCCACTTGATTGGCTCCAAATCTGCAGGCCTGCTGACAGAACCATGTTTTTAGGGCTTTCCAAAAAAAAAAAAAAAAAAACTAGCAAGGAGGGGCCAACCTTATTTCGAATGAATGATATTCTGAAGGGAGGGAGCCACCACAGAGAAGGCCCTTCTTCTAGGTTCTATCAGATGTACTTCCTTAATAAATTGGATCGGCAATATACCCTGGTTTCCTACTCTGGGAAGGTAGGCTGAGAAAATGCAACCGGATTAGGATTAGGATTAGGATTAGGATTAGGATTAAGAATAGAATAGAATAGAATAGAATAGAATAGAATAGAATAGAATAGAATAGAAATAGAAACTTCATTGTCACTTTAAATGTACACTAATCAGCGTACATTAAAATGAAATTTCGTTGCATTCAGCTCTCAAAGAATAACCATTATGCATATACCCACATGACACATCATAGAAACATCACAGTATAGTTCAAATGTATACATATACTTGGTGAAAAAAAGAATGCTGTGAATTTACAAAGCATAAGGAACAAAGCTGTTATGAGGTGAAAGATAAAGGTAAAGGTTCCTCTTAGACGTATGTGCTGGTCGTTCCTGACTCTAGGGGGCGGTGCTCATCTCCGTTTCAAAGCCGAAGAGCCAGTGCTGTCCGAAGATGTCTCCGTGGTCATGTGGCCAGCATGACTCAATGCCAAAGGTGCACGGAACGCTGTTACCTTCCCACCAAAGGTGGTCCCTATTTTTCTACTTGCATTTTTTACGTGCTTTTGAACTGCTAAATTGGCAGAAGCTGGGACAAGTAATGGCACTAGGGATTTGAACCGCTGAACTGCTGACCTTTCGATCGACAAGCTCAGCGTCTTAGCCATTGAGCCACTGTGTCCCTTCATTATGAGGTAGAGGTAATTAAATAACTGTAGTATTAAAAAAAACAGGTAGGAATTGTTCCACGGACACATCATTCCTAGATTTTGCATTCTCAAAAATGGGGGGGGGGGGCGGTGGAATCATGCAGTGTACATAAAAGAAAAGAAAGCAGTGGATAAAGAGCGCCGTTACCAAGTTTTTGGTGCATTTTTTTTTCTCTGAACAGAAAATGGAAGCATGAAGATTTTACTTCTGAGAACTGTAAAAAGAAAAGTAAATATCCTTTAAGGATTATCTTGTGCATTTCTCAATGACTCAAAGAACACAGAAGAATCCAACACAATGACTTCTACAAGTCTTGTCAGGGAGAATTTAGTATCACAGTTTCAGTCTCACCGTAAAACTATTTCCCTCAAACACTTCATGTGTGAAGCAGAACTTTGCCCCAGACTTTGAAAAAATCCAGTTGGAAGGAGGAAGTTTTCCCTAGGCAGACTCATGCAGGGGTGCAACAGGCAAGAAAAGGGAGTTCTCTCAGCTCAAATAGTGCTGTTAAAGAGGAAATGCAAGGCACTTTCCCTCCCCCTCCCGGAGGCCCAACGGTGACCTTTGCCAAGGCTGGCAAGTTTCATATACCTGCCTTGTCCTACCAAATCAAAGCCACGATAACAATCTTTGCAAGTTAACAGAAAAGCAGAATATTGCTCAATGATTACCTGCAATGGGATGTCCCAAAGGTATTTTTCAAGAGTTCCTTGTTAACAAGGAAGTACAGTTGCCTCTTGAAAAAGTACCTTGGGGACCACTATGACCTGGATGACTGAAAATCTTCATCGACGTTCTGCAATGAGATGATAATTTGCATTTCAATATGCTGAAGATCCTTGATTCAAGCATCTAGGTAAGTGAAGCTGGATTCAACCAACACTTATTCATGGTTGATATCTTCAACTACTCCATTTCCAGAATTTGTGCCACACACACTGAATTACAGTGGGCTTAGATGTGGTTCAGTTGTGGCCCCTGAACACACACAGCCCCTGTGCATGGTCCTGCTTGGTCCTAGTAATCTGGCAGCAGCTCCTTGAAGGACACGTCTTTTTACACATAAGAGCCTGGATGTAAATAGTGGGTTTAACTAAGCCATGATACCAAGTCTCAGGGGCAGAGATAACCTCTGTCTGAACTCGCTGTTTACAAACCGCAATGCTTAAGATCCCGCTAAGCTAAAACGCGACTGCTTGCGAACATTTGAAGTCAGACAGTTGTGGTTATTTTCTAAACCAGTTTCTGTTCTCCCTCAGCGTTTGCTTCTTCTTCTTTTTTTTCCCAATCAGGGCCCCTTCCCATTTATTTATTTTTTTAAAATTATGGAGTGTCCCCCAAAAGCTTTCATTTCTATGGGCTTGAGATTTACCAGATTAATAATTAAAATGGATGCATTCGCTGCTGCTTCTCACCCTTATAGGATGAGGTGCTATTTTTCAACGTAAACTGGTAAATCGTTTTGATTTCACGGACCCCTGAGTGGGTCGTGGGTCCTGCAGGAGCCCCCCACTCAAAAGTCCTGGGGGACCCCCCCACAAGGGTCCTGGGGGGGACCCACATTTTGATAAACACTGCTCTAAGCCACGACTTTGCAAGCCACACAAACAGAGTCTCCGAAGAGGGTTGTGAGTCCTGGAGGAGCCCATATACCCAAAAGTCCTGGGGGACCCCCCCCACAAGGGACCTGGGGGGGACCAGATTTTGAGAAACACTACTCTTAAGCCACAGCTTTGCAAGCCACAAGAACAGGGTCTCTGAAGAGGGTCGTGGGTCCTGGAGAAACCCCACCCCACCCAAAAGTCCTGGGGGACACTTCCCCAAGGGTCCTGGGGGGAGACCCACATTTTGAGAAACCCTGCTCTAAGCCACGGCTTTGCAAGCCACAAGAACAAGGTCTCCAAAGAGGGTCGTGGGTCCTGGAGGAGCTCCCCACTCAAAAGTCCCGGGGAACATTTTGAGAAACCCCGCTCTAAGCCACGGCTTTGCAAGCCCCACGAACAGGGTGGGCCTTTTCCGAAGCCTTTTCCAGCTCGGAAACTGACGCCCATGGCCAGCGCAGCCTAGGTAGGGAGCTCCCCTTGTCTCCCCTGGAGACCCTCCCCACCATTCCTGCCTCCTCAAAGCCCCACCCGGGCCGGCTGTCGTCATTTCCAGCGCTGGCGTCGCGCTGTCACATCCGCCTCCCCGGGAGGAGGAGGAGGAGGAGGAGACGCCAGAGGGTGGGAGGCCCGACGCAGCAGCGGCCGCTCGTTCCAACTTGCAGGCCCGACGCGTAATGCGGAGCGCAGGGGCGCCCGGTTGGAGCTCCCAAAGGGGAGCCGGGAAACAACAGATCCGGGCCGGACGAGGGCTTGGCGGCTGAGCTGAGGCGACCACAGCAGAGGGGAACGGAGGACAGACAGCCCACCTGCCGGCCGAAGGGAGAGACTCGCCAGCTGCCCTTCGCGGAACCGGTGCGCGCCCAAGGCGACGGGGGAACCCCGCTGGCAAAGCGGAGCAGGGGGCCAGGCGCGGGTGATTACGGGCGGGGAAGGACGGACGGACGGGGCGGCAGGCTCGGGAGCCTCGCGGGGTCTGCCTGCCTGCCTGCCTTGCTGGCTGCCTGCCTTCCACGCTGGCAAAGGGAGAGTTTGGGGCGTCCGGGCGCGATGCGCGCCGCCTCTCCATCCTTGGAGAGGATCGAGCCTGGGGCGGCGAGTTCGGCGCTCGGCGGGCGGATTTCTCCGGTATTCCGGACCGGGGATGCGGTATCTGAGGCCTGGGGCTCGCGTGCGTGTTGTGGGTCTCCCCCCCCCTTTTTTTTTTTTTTGCAAGGGGTGGTGTGTTACTCGGTTCGCCCGGGCTGACCACCGACCTCTTGCGCCAAAGAGGGTGGGGGAAAAAAAGTGGTTGGGGAGCGTTGCTTGCAGGGCTGCTCGGGAGGAGATCTGGGTTGTGGGGGGGGTGTCCGGCTCCCCAAAGTGCCCCACTTACCATCGCGTGTAGATGTTCGTGTGTGTGTGTGTGTGTGTGTGTGTAGTGACAGCTCGGATGATGTCATCTGCCGCTACGACCTCCCGTTTCTCCGCACGTTCGGTTTTGTCCGTTCCGTAAAGAATCTCTCGCTGTTAATCGGGGACCGTTGGAGAGAATTTCGCTCGGGATTTCCACAATTCCTGCCCTGCCGGAATAATAGCGATCCCCACCCTTTTCGTGGACTGGGCTCCCGTTTCCACCCACGAGCAGTTCCGCGAGCCACCGCTTGACCATGCTCACCGTGGAAACCCCGCGCGGGGTTTACTCCAGGTGTGCATAAGTCGGGAGAAAAATCTCTCTTGGTCGCTGATAAAGGTAGGGTCTGACTGACGGGGTGGGAGGGTGGATTTCGCGGTTTCTGCCTTGACCCTCCCCAGCCCTTTCAACGCATCTCAACTACAGTGCCCATGATCCCCAGCAAGAAGAGTTTGGGAAAGTGGGATAAAGTTAGGCCCTCTTGGAAAGTGCCCAAGCTCAGAGGCCTGGTTGATGTCCTTATAGGTAGAAGAAGTAATGCTGGCTGGGGATAATGGGTAGGATGATGCAGTATGTCTAGAGGGGCTTTGGGAGTATGCAACTGAAGGGGAATGGTGGTTGGGGGCTTTGTGTAGAAGGGGAAGAAAGACCATCGTTTAAAGTGTGTTGTGGGTCCATTTTGCTTTCCAATGACTCATAGACTGCTGAGGGGGGAAGCTGTAGTATTCTGCTAATGATGTTATTCGTGTGGCCGCTGTGTATAAGCCTGGCACAAGCAATGTGGGGTTTGGATTGGCTTTGGAGGCTCTGAAGCTGATGCCAGAGATATGAGTGGATGCAGCCTTATCTTATCCTATGGTTGTATGGTTTACAATTGCAAGCAGCTGCACAAATTCAGTTGCTGCTGCTGCTGCTGTTATTTTATTTTTTTCAAAACAGCAAAATACTCCTTATTTTTCTGGGGGGAAAACAAAGATCTTGTGGATAGTTTTAGGTTAGTATTTCTCAATCTTGACCAGGTTAAGATTAGGTGGACTTCAATTCCCAGCTGGCTGGGGAATTCTGGGAGTTGAAGTCCACCCATCTTAATGTTACCAAGATTGAGAATGTTACCAAGGTGATCAGGAAGGGATGCATTGGACCCTGGAAAAGTGCCTGGGTGAAGAACAGGTGTAGTTGCCTTGTTCATAGGAGTTTTGGGAGGGATATTCTGTGAGTTGGTTGTAGCATCTTCAAAGTTGCATAGAAGTCTTTGGAGAGAATTAATGATCGTGCCACATGATGTCATCATGCAAATGATGATATGCTTATCGTGGACATGATGTAAATTATATAATCTCTTCATTTGCAAGATGTCTTGCCTGTGAGAGTGACATCATGCCGATAATAAACCTAGTAGCTGTAGCATAAGACCAATTTTCTCTCCTCTTTACCAAAAAATCAACGAAGCCAAGCCAAACACTAGTGGTTTTCATATGCTTGCATATAAAGTTCAGATTGGAAGGCCAAAGTACTTGTTGCAATTCTTCTGCTATCAACCTATTTTCTGAATAAATCGTATTAATCCAAACTCCTAAGGGCCTTTTCCTTGAAATATTTATTTCCAGTCTTGATTAGAGGGTTCTGATAATGACCCCTGAGTCATGATTTTGATATCATTGTTTGTAATGGACATTGATGCATTATTGTGATGATTCTACATTTACATCTTACTTTTCGGCCCAGTAAGAACTCAGAATTTTTTCTTGTGGTAGGAACAGATCAAGTGTCAAGTTTCGAGGTAGTCTCAAATAAATTGCATTTCAAACAAAGTTTTTGAAGAAAAACTCCTATTTATTAAGCACGACATTCTAAAACCCGACTCCATCGAAGCCAACACTGACTTCCAGCCCCAAAACCCTCCCTTTCCGTTCCCCACTCCCCTGCACTCATTGGCCATCTTCCAAGTCATTCTACCCCTAATCTACTCCAGCTCAAAGGAATTTCCCCCCTCCCATCCCATCTCCTAGGGGATATTATCTCCAGGGAAAATAAGGAGGTGAAAAGTCAAACGTCCCTTTCCAGACGCCTTCGCTTCTCCTTCTTATGTCAGCACTAGAGTAAATGCAGCTTGAAGTGCTGACATCAAGTGTAGAATTAGAGGGGTGGAAAACTTCTCTGTATTGAATGGGGTGTAAACAAATGTTAATCATTCAGATTTATTATCACTATGACATTGAGCAGGAAGTTCAGCTGGATGCCTTGATGTCTATGGAGGTTTATAATCATCCAGGTCAGAGTTGTCCCAAAAGTGCTTTTTCACCCAAAAGGCAACTGGACTTTCTTGGGGTTTTTTTTCTTTGAAAACATTTCTCTTCTCATCCAGGAAGCTTTCTTCAGTTAGAAAAAGCACCTTTGGGACAGCTGGATGGTTTGGATGGCCTCTTGCTAATTCTAAGAAGTAACAGTAACGTACCCTGGGTTTGATCTCTGGCTGGTTGGGTTCACATTTTCCATGAAACTTGCTTTACTTCATAAAAGCCGGCTAGGTAACTTTGAGCCAGTCACTCTCTCTTAGCTTAACCCACCTCACTGGTTGTGGTTGTTGTTGTGGGGAAAATAGAAGGAGGAAGTTATGTTGGATATGTTCGCTGCCTTGAGTTAGTTATTAAAATAATAAAGGTGGGATATACTGTAAATAAATTTAAAAACCACAGTTGGCTGGGATCATGCCACAATAATAATAACTTTATTCTCATTGTACATGTATGCACAGTATACCCATACAATGAAATTCACTTAACACCCAAAGACCAGGCCCAACACACATAACAATCCCCAAACACACTCCCATCCACCACAATTCCCCACCCCTAAACCACCCAAACATCCACACAACAGACCAAGTAATGCTATCCAACAGCTCACTGATTGTGGCCCTTTAGTTCATTGTTGAGTGCAATTATAGCTTTGGGATAAAAACAAGCTTTAAACTTAAGACATTACACAAAAAGTAAACAAGGCATAGGGTCTCTTTACATGAGGTGTGAATGCTGCCAGAACAAAAGTTATTGTAGCTCTGTTAAACCTAGTTTAACCTAGATTTAATCTAGATTGGGGATGCCACACCCAAAAAAAATCCTTCAAATTTAAACCCTAAAATGAAAATACAATATGTCCAATTTTATTCTGTTCAGCTTTGTATATACACACACACACATTTTCAATGTAATCCTGTAAAATATACAGCACAAGCAAGAACAAAGATAGAAAATAATAGAAAAGCAAATTGAAAAGGGAAAAAAAAGAGAAGAACATACAATAATGCCTTCTGCCCTTCTATCCAGTCATTGTCATGTTAAAACACCTAACTTCTTCCTCTCATTTTAATTTTTCTTCTTTCAGCAAAAAGTCCATACAAGGGTTCGAGTTTTTTTTTTAAAAAAAGTATTTTATTATAGAATAGAATAATAATAGAACAGAACAGAACAGAACAGAACAGAACAGAACAAAATAGAATAGAATAGAATAGAATTCTTTATTGGCCAAGTGGAGGCCAATGAAGAATTCTTTGGGGGCACCTGCCCTCTGGAATGAATTGCCCCCGGAGATTCATACGATCCCTTACCTACGTACCTTTCACGTGCCCTTAAGACTTTACTGTTTCAACAGGCTGGGCTGGCTTAATAACGAATTTTAATGGGTGTTTTAGTTTTTAATCTGGGCCAAATTATTTAATATGTTTTAAATTGTTTTTAAATTTTATGGATATACGTATTTTATTGTGGCTGTGCACCTCCCTGAGTCCCTTGGGAGAAGGGCGGTATAAAAATCGAATAAATAAATAAATAAATAAATAAATAAATAAATAAATAAATAAGTAAGTAAGTAAGTAAGTAAGTAAGTAAGTAAGTAAGTAAGTGTGATTGGACACACAAGGAATTTGTCTTGGTGCATACGCTCTCGGTGTACATAAAAGAAAATATACATTCGTCAAGATTTTTTATTTTTCCCCCTGACCAAACTAATCAACTTTGCCATTTCTGCAAGTTCAGTTAATGTTGTGATCCAATCTTCCACCTTACATTGCGTTCAGCTTTTGTAGAAAAAGTCCCTTTTCCTTTATGATATTTCTATTAGCGGAAATTGTATGGATATGTTTATGTCATTGTTTTGGTTAATCATTCATATGTGTGCGATAAATTATTGGCTGCAAATCAGGAATGAGTGAACACTTGTACATGTTAACCCCCTCCCTGCTCTCTTGTTGTGTAGATGATCAAATCTTTGAGAAGATTATTAATGAGGCTGATTTCTGTGTGAAAGTTTATGGGTAGACTAGGCATGTTTTAAAGGGCCAGTGAACAGTCTAGCATCCCAGGTCCTATGTTACTCCTGCTGCTCTAAGCTGCTTTCTTATCACTGAATAAGAAGGAATCTCAAGATCATATAGTACAGGGATCATATAGTACAGTCCACGACCAGGGGCAAAGCTCCATTTGTGTGAGCGGTAGGTGCTCACACTTGTGTGCAAATGGAGGTGCATGCACTCATGGACGTGTCTGCTGCTCACACAGAACCACCACCCCCTTTTTTTAAAAAAAATTGATTTATATGCCGCCCTTCTCCGAAGACTCAGGGCGGCTTACAATGTGTTAAGCAATAGCCTTCATCCTTTTGTATATTTATACAAAGTCAGCTTATTGCCCCCATAACTGTGTCTTCAATTTACTTACCTTAGAAAGGATGGAAGGCTGAGTCAACCTTGAGCCTGGTGAGATTCGAACCTGCAGTAATTGCAGGCAGCTGGTCTTAATAACAGGGTGCTTTAGACCACTGTACTACCAAGGCTCTTCCCCCTGCCCATCTGCCACGCCGGAAAGATTGGGGACCACTGATATAGAACACCTCTGAACTTGACTTAGAAGGAACTGGGAGGCCACAGGTGATATCAATACTTGGAGTATGGTTGAAATTTTATTTGTTGTTGTTCAGTCACTAAGTTATATATCTGGCTCTTCGCAATGCCATGGACCATAGCATGCCAGGCTCCCTTGTCTTCCACTGTCTCCCAGAGTTTGCCCAAATTCTTGTTCATTGCGTTGATGACACTTTCTAATCATCTCGTCCTCTGCCGTCCCCTTTTTTTTTTTTTTTTTATTTGATTTATATGCCGCCCTTCTCCGAAGACTCAGGGCAGCTTACAATGTGCTCAGCAATAGCCTTCATCCTTTTTGTATATTTATACAAAGTCAGCTTATTGCCCCCACAACTGGGTCCTCAATTTACCTACCTTAGAAAGGATGGAAGGCTGAGTCAACCTTGAGCCTTGGCGAGATTCAAACCCTGCAGTAATTGCAGGCAGCTGGTCTTAATAACCAGCTTAATAACAGGGTGCCTTAAACCCCTGTACTACCAAGGCTCTTCTCCTTTTGCCTTCAGTCTTTCCCAACATCTGGGTCTTTGCCCACCAGTCCTCTCTTCTCCTTTGGTGGCCAGAGTATTTGGGTTTCAGCTTCAGTATCTCACCTTCCAAAGAACAGTCAGGATTGGTTTCCTTTAGAAATTTTTATTGAGGTTGTTCATTGGGGTTTTTTTGGAGGATAAGTAAAACTTGGAATGGAAGTAGACGGCAAATAGCTGTCATACCTTTCATAAAGACTCCAAAACTCCCAAATCATACCATTGAAACATGGCATTTTGCACCTGAATTTTGCTGGACTAATCCTGGTGATTTTGTGACAACTAGCTGGGCTTCCACACAGAATTTGATGACACTAGATTAGATCACTGTTTCCCAACTTTAAGCAATTTTGAGATGTGTGGACTTCAACTCTCAGAATACCTCAGCCAGCAATGCATCTTAAAAATGTCCACACCTCTTAAAAATGGCTAACGTTGGGAAATACAGCTGGTGGTCCTCAACTTACAACTACAATTGAGCCCAAAATGTCCATTGTTAAGCAACGCAGTGAGTTTTGCCCCATTTTACAACCTTTCTTGCCACAGTTGTTAAGTGAATCGATGCAGTTGTTAAGTGAATAACACAGATGTTAAGTGAATCTGGCTTCCCCTTTGACTTTTGTTTGTCAGAAGGACACAGTAAGTGATCACAATCGACACTGCAATAGTCAGAAATACATGCCAGTGGCCAAGCGGCCGAATTTGATCACATGACCACAAGAACTTGTAACTTCGAATGGTCAGTAAACGAATGGTTGTAACATGAGGACTGCCTGTATTGAATTAGATTTAACTATGTAAGCTTATTTAATTGTAAGCAGCCTAGAGTCACCTCCAGTAAGAAGATCCATTGAAATCAGTGAATGATGACCATTCCCATTGTCTTCATTGGATCTTCTTGATGGGAGGGAAAAATAATTTCCTCTCTTGTTTTGTTTTTAGGATCCTGTGCAGCGAAACTCATGTGCAGAGAGAGACTTCGAGATTCTCCATGCTGGAATGCAGAGCCCCTCAGTGATGGCTGTTCTGAGCGGACATGTGCTAAAGACTTGCTGTATTTCACTGGAGGCTGAAATATTTCCTTAACTGGTTGGATTGCCTGCTTGTGGGACTCCTGCTTTTCCCTGAATATTACCCTGTACCCCATAGTCCCTCCTCTCGATTCCACCCGCGGCCATGAATGGGCTGACGGTTAGTGAACTCTGCTGTCTCTTCTGCTGCCCGCCGTGCCCCAGTCGAATAGCTGCCAAGCTGGCCTTCCTACCTCCAGACCCCACCTATACAATCGTCCCAGAGCCAGATCCTGCGGGCAGCACCAGCAACGCCGCCTCCCGGAGTGGCACCATGGCTCGCTGGAAGCTTCATCTGACGGACCGAGCTGATTTCCAGTACACCCAACGAGAACTGGACACCGTGGAGGTGTTCCTTACCAAAAGCAGCCGAGGGAACCGAGTGAGTTGCATGTACGTCCGCTGCGTACCTGGCGCCAGGTGAGTACATTTGAAAAGATGAGTAGTAGTGCGGTGTCAGGGATATTGGGTTAACAGATAGTCTATGACAGGGGTCTCCAACCTTGGCAACTTTAAGACTTGTGGACTTCAACTCCGGAATTCTGGGAGTTGAAGTCCACAAGTCTTAAAGTTGCCAAGGTTGGAGACCCCTGGTCTATGACTTCAAACCATTTGTTTTGTGACCACTGGAACTTAACAAAGGAACTTTAAAAAGTGGCTTATGACCTCGTTTTCAAACCGTTGCACCATTCCTGCGGTCACATGATCAAAATTCGACACTTGCCAACTGGGCCGTATTTATGACGTTGCAGTGTCCCTGGGGTCATCTGATCACCTTTTGCCACCTTCCCACAAACTCAACGGAGAAGTCAGATTCGCTTATTATTGTTACTATTTTAAAAACGGCAGTGGTTCACTTAACCACGATGATAACAAAGGTCGTACAATGTGGCAAAACTCGTTTCACGACTGTCTTGCTTAGCAATGGAAATTTGAGGGCTCAGTTGTGGTTATAAGTCGAGGAACACCTGTATAACTGTGCAAGTCAGAATAATTAGAGTTGGAAGGGACCTTGGAGGTCTTTTAGTCCAACGCCCTGCTCAATGAGGAAACCCTACGCCATTTCAGACAAATGATTGTCTAGTCTCTTCTTAAAAACTTCCAGTGTTGGAGCATTTACAACTTCTGGAGGCAAGTTGTTCCATTGATTAATTGTTCTAACTGTCAGGAAATTTCTCCTTAGTTCTAGGTTGCATCTCTCCTTGATTAGTTTCCATCCATTGCTTCTTGTCCTGCCTTCAGGTGCTTTGGGGAATAGGTTGACCCCCCTCTTCTTTGTGGCAGCCCCTCAAATATTGGAACAGTGCTGCCATGTCACCCCTCGTCTTTCATTTCATTAAAGCCAATTCCTGTAACCGTTCTTCATATGTTTTAGCCTCCAGCCCCCTAATCAACTTTGTTGCTCTTCTCTGCACTCTTTCTAGAGTCTCATCAAGTCCTTGATAGAGGTCATACAAAGTACATACAGAGCAGTGGTGGGTTCCTCCCAGTTTGGTCCGGTTCGGCCGAGCCGATAGCGGTGACGATATGACATCACCGAACCGGTTCTCCCCCCCCCGCCCTCCCACCCCCCCACCCACGTTATTCTTACCTTTTATTTGGTCCCACCCCCAATCTATTGCTGCCTCCTGAGTCCCAGCTGATGACTAGAGGGGAAAAAACTGTTTAAACTCTTGCCGCGGGGCTTCAAAGGGCCGTCCTACAGCTGATCAGTGTTAAAAGCAAACAAATGAGTCGGGTCGTAAGTGTGAGGACTGGTCGTAAGTACGAGGACCTTCCAGAAATGACTCTGACCAGTTAGCCACGCCCACCTAGTCACATGACCTCCAAGCCACACCCACAAAATAAGCCACACCCACAGAACCGGTAGTAAAAAAATCTAGAACCCACCCCTGATACAGAGTATATATATACAGATTAACAGAGTTGGAAGGGACCTTGTAGGTCATCTAGTCCAACCCACCACCCAAGCAGGAGACCCTACACCATTTCTGACAAATGGCAGTCCAATCTTTTCTTGAAAGCTTCCAGTGATGAAGCTCCCACAACTTCTGAAGGCAAGCTGTTCCATGGGTTGATTGCTCTCACTATCAGAAAAATTCTCCTTATTTCTAGGTTGAATCTCTCTCCTTGATCAGTTTCCATCCATTATTCCTTGTCTGGCCTTCAGGTGCTTTGGAGAATAGCTTGACTCCCTCCTCTCTGTGGCAGCCCCTCAAATATTAGAACACTGCTTTCATGTCTCCCCTGGTCCTTCTCTTCACTAGACTAGCCATGCCCATGTCATGATGGTAAATGTGAATTTTCAGGGATTCCATCTCAGTTTCTGAAGCCGTTCGCACGGAATTGTGAGAGGCCCAGCATTCTTTTGCTTGGCTGAGGGCAGCAGATCTTCTGCTGCTAAGTCCTCTCTTAAGACGACAGTTTGAGCCAGTGATCATTGTTGGTGACACTTGGGGGAGGGAGGTGGGGGGAAGACTGTATTGACTAAGAGCAGTTAAACAACAAAGTTAAGAACATCAGCCTTGTTCAAAGCTGCTTAATTGAGTTAATCTGGGGCTGTCATTTGGTGTATAAATTCTTGCTATGTTGCAGGTGCCTCTGGATAATCATAAGCCTGGAAATGAAAGGAGCTTGTGACCTCTCCCCCCACATCTCATTTTTTTTAAAAAAAAAAATAGGGGTTGCTCAGACAACTGGAAAGCTCAAGGGGATTGGGCCCCAACCTTTGTAGTCTGTTTCCATGACAATGTAAAAAAAAAAAAAAACCTTCATAGGTGCAAGAATTAAGCCCCTTGAGAGCTTAACATGTCAGGCTTAATTTTGCCAAAAGAGTCCCAGTGTTTATTCCGTGCGGTGAAAATTATCAAAGTTTAATTAAATCAGATTGGGGCCTGGCTGGTGGGGGTCACCGGGGCCCAGTTCTCAAGGGAATCGAACACGGATGACGTACTCGGAACATGTGAGCTGCAAGTGGGAAGTTTTACCTTCTGCCTCAAAGTTTTGCACCTGTGTTTTCCCTCCCATTTATTATCAATATATGGAATTACTATATATGGGTAGTCCTTGACTTACCACCATTTGTTTAATTCGAAGTTGCAATGGCACTGAAAAAGCGATTTATTACCAATTCCCACATAACCATTGCAGCATTCCGTGATCAAAATTCAGGTGCTTGGCAACTGGCATGGATTTACAATCGTTGTAGCATCCCAGGGTCATATGATCCCCATTTGTGGTGACAGCTTCTGAAAAGGTCTGTGGAGATTCTCAGTCATCCAGATCATGGTTCTCCCAAAGATGCTTTTTTTTTTTCAAGAGGCAACTGGTCATTCTTGTTCTTTCTTTGAAGCAGGGGTGGGTTCTAATATTTTTTTACTACTGGTTCTGTGGGCGTGGCTTATTTTGTGGGCGTGATTTGATGGTCACGTGACAATTCTTTAGGATTTAGCAGAGGTACTGGTCTACCAGGCTTTTAACTGCTTGCAGAGCTGTACCAGTCTGCCCATTTGTTCTTGGAGCGTTCCGATCTACCCATTTGTGTTTGGAGGCACCGGTTTACCACCACACTGCCTTTTAACACTGATCAGCTGTAGGGCGGCCCTTTGAAGCCCCGTGGCAAGAGTTTAAACAGTTTTTTTCCTTCTAGCCGATCAGCTGGGACTTGGGAAGCAGCGAATAGATTGGGGGCGGGGCCAAATAAAAGATAAGAATAACGGAGGGGGCGGGCGGGGGGCAGCTCCCGAACAAAGAGAACCGGTTCGGTGACATCATATTGTCACCGCTACCGGTTCGGCCGAACCGGGCCGAACTGGGAGGAACCCACCACTGCTTTGAAGGTGTTCGGTTTCTCATCCAAGAAGCTTCTTCAGCTCTAACTGGACGGTGGGGAATGGAAGGATTTATATTCCTTGCGGGCAGCTGGTCATTTGCATCCTTTTAGAGAATCGTTGAGGCCACCTGGAGGTTTATCAGCGTCCTCAGGGTCACCTGAGTAGTGCAAATGGGTGTGGAGCCTTCTTGGAACTGCTGAAAGGACTTGTTGTACACTGGAGATAGACGATGTCGTATCCTTCCCCCTCTGTTGAGAGAAGGCTGTTCAATTTTGACATAGATGGCCTCTTTAACCCCTCTTTCAAGCCAGTGGTCCTCTATCTCATCTATCATCTGTCTCCAGTTTACAACATAGTCATCTCAGCAGTTCCAAGAAGGCTCCACGCCCATTTGCACTACTCAGGTGACCCTGAGGACACAGGTAAATCTCCAAGTGGCCTCAACAACTCTCTAAAACAATGCAAATGACCAGCTGTTCTCAAGGAATATAAATCCTTCAATTCCCTTTTTACAGCTATTTCGTGGTGTATAGCTGTAAAAAGAGAGTATATATATATATGTTTTCTCAGGTTTTCGCGGGTGTTTGTATGTAGGTCTTTGGTTATTCGGGTCTTCTCCCACGTAAAATTGGAAGTGTCTTGGTGACGTTTCGACGAAGTCTCATTCGTCATCTTCAGGCTGGTGTTCTCGGCTTCGTGCTTCCAGGAGCAATGATATATATATATGTTTTGTGTTTCTCATATTGTGTTATAATAAAAATAAATAAATAAAAATAAATCCTTCAATTCCCCACCATCCAGTCAGAGCTGAAGAAGCTTCTTGGATGAGAAGCGAAACATCTTTCAAAGAAAAAACAAGAAAGTCCAGTGGCTTCTTGAAAGAAAGCACCTTTGGGACAACTTCTGAAAAGAAAATCAGTGAGGAAATCTTGCTTAGCAACATAAATGTTGGGCTCAATTGTGATCATACCTGTGTAGGCTTCTTTCCAGATTTACTTAGAAGTAAATTTTACTGACTTGAGGAGAGGATGTTTCCAAGTAAGCAAAACCAGAACTGAACCGGAAAAGAGAGTCTGAATAGCTTGGCCACAGTAACTGGAAAATAAATGTATAAAAAAGTTACTATTATATTTATGATTGTTTACTTCCCACCTATTTGCTGTTCTCTGGGCACTATGAAATGCAAAGAAAGAGACACGGGACAATAAAAACAAGAAAAATCAGGAGCAATATTAGCAAGGATTATGCTACTAGTAAATAATGATTCCCAGGTCCTTGGGAAGGACTCAATAGGTAGATAAAAAAATACCCAATCCATTCTGGCTACCTGTGAGACAAACCATAATAATAAATATATGATGAGGGTGAAAAAACCTCATCATAAATCGAACACCTGAACATGTAATATAAAGTTTCTAAAATCACTACAAATGGTTTTAGAAATTGAAAGAGTAACATGGCCTTTAACCAGGCATCCCAGAGCTCAGAATTGAGAGAGGTGGGTTTTTAAAAACAACTTTAATTTAAAATCAGAGTAAACAGAAAAGCAGCAACTTCTCTTTTCAAATAGGATATTTATGTTGAAGTTGTCTTCATGCGGTTAAGTTGAAATGAGATTTAATAAATGCAGGAGGTTCTGTCCTGAGCGGCCTTTCCTTTGCAGTCTTTTTCAAATTTGGCAAGTTTAAGGTATGTGGACTTCAACTCCCAGAATTCCCCAGCCAGTCATGCTGGATGGGAAATTCTGGGACTTGAAGTCCACACACCTTAAACTTGCCAAAATTTGATAAACCTAACCCTTGAAAGGTGTTCAAGAGGAACCCTTTAAGGGCTGATGCCTTGAATCTTAGGACACAATTGTTGAACAACCATAAAAAGATCATTTGCCAGAAAATCAAGGCATCTCTTCAGCCACTAAGGCCAGCTGGTTAGGCTGGATGAGTTGGTTGAGGCCTAGACATGGGGTGGGAGCAGCTTCTTTCCTTAATTTGACAAATGGCTGGTGGTTGTGTATAAGGGCGTTCCCTGGACACAGTTTCCGGTCCTTTTTTATGGGAATCTGTCTCTGTTCTTCATTGTTGATGCAGGACTGGAGTCAAGCCGTAAATTCTCAACAATGAAAAAAAAAATACTTTTCATGTCCTAAACAGCTGACTGTCTCTCTTTTTTAAACCCATTTTGCCCTCTTATTCCTAGGAATAGGTCAGATTTGGGTATCTTTGGGATTTTGCAGGTTGAAATAATTCCCCTGTATAAGATCAAATCTCTCATGGTGTGCCAAATGATCGTACAAATGCCGAGAGAAAAGTTTTTCTATTTTAGATGGCCTTATTTCATTTTGTCCGTTATATAGAATAGGGTTAGGGTGACCTTATTTTTCCTGGGAAAAATAAAGGATAAACTCGAAAAGAGTGCGCTGGGGGAAAAAAAATCACAAAATAATATTCATAAACATGTTTTTGTTTACAACTTTGCTTTTACAACGGAAGATTCAAGAGCAAAACCGAGAAAAACTTTACAAAACAGACATTCTAATAAAATTATCTAAAATCAGTATATGCAAATTTATATCAAAAGGACCATTAAATTCCCATACTTTTCACATGACTGTGGGAGACTACGCATTAAATGGAGCCATTTGTATGGTAGATGTTAAATGACCCAAATAAAGGACCAAAGTGGGTGCTTGAAAAAGAAATACATCCAAAAGTTAGCTTTCCGAAATAAAAACCACTGTCCTTTATAGTAATGGGTGGATGACCACTGTAGTGATAGTAAATTTGAGAGAAGAAAATTCTTGCTTGTATTTCTTCCTGTAACAGAAAGTATGGGGAAAGGGTGATGACAGTATTTATCTTATAGACATTGGTAGGATCTGTAGAAATTCTGGTAGTCTCCATCTTTTATGTAAGGAGTAGAAACAGCGATAAATTTCAAAGTAACCCCCGAGAACTGATTTATGTAAAACTGCCATTGAAGGTGAAAGTGTCATACTTAAGACTTCGGCCATCTGTTTGTAATAATATATAAATATTAATATAAATAATATAAATATAAATAATATAAATATAAATATAAATAATATAAATATAAATATATAATAATAAATAAATAAATTCGACTGCAGTTTGTCAGAAATGGTGTAGGGTCTCCTGTTTGGGTGGAGGGTTGGACTAGATGACCTACAAGGTCCCTTCCAACTCTCTTAATCTGTAATCTGTAGTGGTGCTAAACTTCTCTGTGATTCTTTAGATTTCTGCAGAAAGGGAAAATTGTGCCTGTGTTTTAAATCTGGGGTAAGTGTTTGAAAGTAGCACCTCTGAGCTCCTAAAGGTGACATGAACTATGCTGTTGTCTCATCTTGATTCCAACACAGATAGTCCTCGATTTAGGACCACAATTGGGATTGGAATTTTCATTGCTAAGGAAGGGGGTTGTTAATTGAGTTCCACTCATTTTCATTATCTTTTCTTGCCATGGTTGTTATGCAAAGCACTGCAGTTCTTATGTGGATCACATGGTCCTGAAATAAATCCAGTTTCCGCCATCGACTTTGCTTGTCAGAAGCCGACTGGGAAGGGTAAAAATGGCGATCATCTGATCCCAAGAAGCTGTATGTGTCTAAAACCATGCCAGTTTCCAAGTGATCAGATTTTGATCACATGACTGTGGAGATTCTACAACAGGCATAAGTGCAAGAACCGGTCAATAAGTCACTTTTTTTAGTGCTTTTATAAATGGTTCAAATGGCTACTAAATGAATAGTTGTGAGTCAAGGTCTACCTGTGTGCTGTGTTTGTACAGAGTTGGGCTACAGGGAAAAAATTGTGACACTGGCATGATGCATTCTTCCTCTGTGTGGTTCAAAATGAGCAGTCTCTGAAGTTGCCACTTCATTATGTTGTGATTTTTTTTTTTACAAGCATAGACAGTCATATCTAAGCATATTTCACACAGGGGCCTAAACTTTTGTATGGAAGAGGCCTTATGAAATGAACCTTGATCCAGGGCAAAATGAGATGGTAGGGACTTATGGAGGAAGGAGGCCGAACCATTTCTGAAAATAGCAGAGAAGTTTAAAATGGGATTCTCATGTTAAAAAACAAAACATGGCATTAAATAAAAGTTTCCAGCTCTTATTTAATGAGGGGAAGGATTCTTCACCAACCTCTTGTACCTCCCCCACCCCACAATTGGGCTACTTTCTACTTGCAGAGAGAGAGGTGAGATTTTTTAATACAGACTGAAATTAGAACATACTACCCTAAATATTTGTACAGGTAGTCCTCAATTTACGACTACCAATTGAGCCCAAATGTTCTGTGGTTAAGTGAGACATTTGTTAAACGGGCTTTGCAACGACGTTACAATCTTTCTTGCCACAGTTGTTAAGTGAATCATTCATTGATAAGTTGATGAGTTAGTCACCCGGTTGTTAAGTGAATCTGGCTTCCCCCGTTGACTTTGCTTGTCAGAAGGTCGCAAAAGGGGATCACGTGACTTTGGGGCACATCAACGGTCATAAATCTGAACCAGCTGCCAAGCATCTTGATTTTGGTCATGTGACCATGGGGATGTTGCAAAGGTCGTAACTGTGAAAAATAGGCTGACTCTGTAAACCGCTTAGAGAAGGCTGTAAAAGCATTATGAAGCGGTATATAAGTCTAAGTGCTATTGCTAAGTGCTATTGCTAAAAGAACTATTGTAAGTCAAGGACTGTTTCTATTCTGAAGTGTTACACTCTGTCCTGCAAAAGAGTAGGCCTTTACCACTCAATTTTGGGTGCACCTGTTTTCTGAACCCTTCCTTCTCCTCAGGTTCACCGTTCTCTTCTCACATGGCAACGCTGTGGATCTGGGCCAGATGTGTAGCTTCTACATCAGCCTGGGCACCCGGATTAGCTGCAACATCTTTTCTTACGACTATTCGGGCTACGGTGCCAGCACAGGGAAACCATCAGAGAAGAACCTCTATGCTGATGTCGACGCAGCCTGGCAGGCCTTACGCACACGGTGAGTCCCCAAGAAAAGCAACACCAGACTTGGGTTTTGTTGCTGTTTCAAAAGCTCCAGGATTTTTCATAACAGTGTCCGGATTGATCAATTCATCAGCTTCCCGCAAGGGCATTCGGAGGCCTCTTCCTTAAATGCTTTCTCAGAAATCGGATACTTCCTAAATAGAGACTCCATTCTTAGTTTTTGAGGCCAAGAAAGATGGATAGATATATTGTCCATTAAGCCATAAATAGACAAATGAAAGAAAAGCTGTACTTGTTCATTGCCTATCTTAGCGCCCAAAATAGTCCCTGGAGCTGCCAGAGTGACTGTGGACACTTATTTTGGTTCCCACCAGGTTTTCTGTCTCATCTGGGCTGTTGTTTTTTTACACACACAAAAAGCAAAAATGAGAAGTTAACAGCACTGCTAAGTGAGCAGCAGCCTCTGGTACTATACTGGCTTCTTAGAGCCCTGAAATATCTTCAGAATCATGTAGTGGTATGTGGGAAATGAGCTTGAGAGACTGCGCTTAGAGATGCTACCTAGGGAATAATCAGATGAGAGACAGCTTAGCCTGCAACTGGATAAAGGACGAAACAGGAGGCTGAGAAGAGACTCTCAGGGTGTAAGAATTGTATTTTTGGTGGGAGAACTGTATTTTTACACCTGCAAGGGTCTACTACCGTGTTTCCCCCAAAAATAAGACCCTGTCTTATATTTTTTTGAACCCTGAAATAAGCGCTTGACCTTATTGCCATGCACTCAAAAAGCTCGCTTGGGCTTATTATCAGGAGATGTCTTATTTTGGGGGAAACAGGGTAGTATAGTTTTACAATGAAGTAGAATTAGTTCCTCTGGCTGTGTTTCCTGTCTGATTTACCTGGTAAGGCTGACAATTCTTTCTACGGTAGGACCCTTGGTGCTCTCTGAGCTTGGTTGTTTTCTTGCAGAAATTTCATTACCAACGTAGGTAACATCATCAGTGCTAGTAGCTACTAGCTCTGTTAGCAACAATGATGCTACCTGGTTTGGTCATGAAAATGTCTGCAAGAAAAGAACCAAGTTCAGAGAGCACCGTTCAGCCCTGAGTTACAGATATTCTCTTCTATTAATTCTATGTTTTCTTACAAAATAATTGGCAGCTGCTGCCTCATGCCGAGTTTGAAAATGTGCCCACCTACCCAGAAGAAGGACAGAGTTAAGCAGGAGGAAGCAAAATGTTTTTTGGGGGCCAGGGAGAGAGGGGCGTGGGGGGGAGGGGTACAGGAGTAGTGGGGAAGAGGAAAATAAATGTTTCACATGTTTCAGCCTGCCTACCCTTCCACTATTTTAGGACTGAGTGAGACTGCTAGGTGCCTTCTGGTGGCTCATCAGTAGGAAACACAGACAAGCTGGGGTGCCCTGTTCGTTCCAGCATCTTTTTGGAGCTGGATTGCCTTCGTGTGAGGATGTTCCTTCCCTTAGTCATGACAAGTAGCCCCAAATAGCATCAACCTGTCAAGTTTCATTTGGAGACCAAGTTCGTACACCTGTAGAGAGCAAATTCCATCCCTTGTACAAACTGTATTTCTTCAAGCGGTACCTAAGGAACATAAAAGATGTAATTTACCTTGCGATGGCACCTCTGTGGTTTCTTTCCTTCTCTCTCTGGACAGATATGGGATCAGCCCCGAGAACATCATCCTCTACGGGCAAAGCATTGGGACGGTGCCCACAGTGGACCTGGCCTCCCGCTATGAGTGCGCAGCTGTTATCTTACATTCACCTTTAACTTCGGGCATGCGCGTTGCCTTCCCAGAAACCAAAAAGACCTACTGCTTTGATGCTTTCCCAAAGTAAGTCCTTGAGAAAGCGGGAACGTGGGTGTGGAGGTCAGTCAAGGAGGGGCAGGTGCAAAATTTACTATTGCAGTCTGCTGGATTTAGGCTTTTCTGTTCGCCGTCCCTCCAAATCTTTTAATTTCTTTTTCGGAAGCATGATTTTTGAAAAGTCTATCCTGCCAATTTATTTATTTATTTTGTCTTTTTTTTTTAATGACATTGTAATTCCTTACATTGGGGTGGAGTTGGGGCAATTGAATGGAGCTGAGTGTTTACTGGCTGGATGCCTTTCCCGTTGCCAATGCAGAGTTCACATCAGATAATTACTCAATGCAACTCCAAAAAGCTTTTCAGTGTGAGTTTCCTACGTAGTGGCTCAGTGGCTAAGACACTGAGCTTGTCAATCAGAAAGGTTGGCAGTTCGGTGGTTTGAATCCCTAGTATAGGTCTCCTGCGTGAGCAAGGGGGTTTGACTAGATGACCTCCAAGGTCCCTTCCAACTCTGTTACTGTTATTATATTACGTATACATAAGGGGGTCACCAAAATTGGCAACTTTAAGACTTAAGGACTTCAACTCCCAGAATTCCTCAGCCTGCATGGAATCCTGGGACTTGAAATCCAGAAGTCTTAAAGTTGCCATGTTTGGAGAAGCCTAGTGTAGATGCTGGTCATCTTACGCTTAGTTACAAATAGAAGTACCAGCTCAGTATTTGTTTGGTTATTTGATTTACTAAGCACTATACAGGTAACCCTCAACTTACAATCACAGTTGGAACCAGAATTTCTGTTGTTAGGCAAGATGGTTGTTCAGTGAGCCATGCCCAATTTTATGACCTTTTTGGCCATCGTTGTTAAGCAAATTACTGTGGTTGCTAAGGGAATCAAGTCATTAAGCAAATTTAACTTTCCCCATTGACTTTGCATGTCAGAAGCCATCTGGGAAGTTCACAAAAGGTGATTACATAATCCCGGGATAACTGCAACCATCTAAATACATACTGGTTGCCAAGTGCCTGAATTTTGATCGTGTGACTTTGGGGCGACTGCTGCAATGGTCGTAAGACCGGTCATAAGTCACCTTTTTCAGTGCTGTTGTAACTTTGAATAGTCAAGTGAATGAGCACTACCTATAGTCATTTAGTACAGGGGTCTCCAACCTTGGCCACTTTAGGCCTGGAGGACTTCCAACTCCCAGAATTCCTCAGCCAGCAAAGCTGGCTGAGGAATTCTGGAAGTTGGAAGTCCACAGGTCTTAAAGTTGCCACGGTTGGAGACCCCCGATTTAGAATACGTTCACTTTCAAAGCACGTTGCTCACTGTAATTCAGGAAGAGGGACTTATATTAGAGGGACTTGTGGTCATTTGCACAGATAATCTCTTCCCTGGCAATCAGGAATATTATGTAACCTGATTTTTCTCCTGACAAAAGAGGCCTATTTCGTAGGCCTCTTTAAGCAAGAGGCTGTAACTCACCGATGGAGCGCTGATTCTGTGTCAAAAGGACACACCATTTGCACATTTTTTTTCAGGATAAAAGTATCTTGGGTCTTAGATTGTAATGACACGAGTTACTCCCTTTGAGTGACAAGGCAGACTTTGTGTGTCATAATGAGGGGCTGTATCATTTGGGAATTTGCTTTTTTTAAAAAAAAAAAAAAAAAGCAGAGAAATAGATGCTTTGAGCTTTGGCAAGACATAAGCTGCTCATTTTGCCTTTGACCCCCCCCCCCAAACCTTAAATCAACCCCAAATAAATTCATTTTAATTTAAAAGGGCTAACGTTGCGTGTCTTTCTGGTTGAAATCTACTCAGATCCTGAGTAAAACAATTGCAAATCCATGATATTAGCAATCTCTGATTTCAGCCATTTAATTTTTGTTTCAATATTTTTGTATGGGTTGTCTGTAAATTCCAGTGAAGGATGGTGGGCCTTGGTGCTGTTGGAATTTACAGAATTTAAGCTGCCGATCTAACTGTTGCTCAGTGACTAAAGCATGCAGAACTATCCAGCTTCTCTTTCAGGGTAATGCTGCAGGGAAGACCCCCTACCCCCTGGAGAAGAGGGGCTCTTAACAGAATAACAGAGTTGGAAGGGACTTGTAGGTCATTTAGTCCAGGGGTGTCGTACTCAATTTCATTGAGGGCCGCATCAGGGTTGTTTGACCCACGGATGGGGGGGGGGGCATGGCCGGGGTAGGTGTGGCCAGCTCAACATCACTCGTGTCCGGGATGGGGGCTATGGTGGCCCGAGTGCTCTGCCAGAGAAAACGGGCTCCCAAGCTCCGTTTTTGGCTGTGACGGCTTCCTGCAACCTCTGCCAGAGTGCTCTGCCAGAGAAAACAGAGGTTGGGAAGGCCGCACGTGGCCCTCCCGAAATCCGTTTTCGCTGGCAGAGGCACCGCTCCAGTCTCCAGGCTCTATTTGGGTGTTTCTCGACCTTGGCCACTTTGAGATGTGTGGACTTCAACTCCCAGAATTCCCCAGCCCATACATGTTGCCGAGAATGAGAACCACTGCAATAATCTACCATTGTTTTCTGTATCCCTTTTCTCTTCCACAGTATAGACAAGGTGTCACGCATCACTTCCCCCGTGCTGTTCATTCATGGCACCGAAGACGAGGTGATCGACTTCTCTCATGGCTTGGCCCTTTACGAGCGCTGCCCGAAGGCAGTGGAGCCCCTCTGGGTGGAAGGAGCTGGCCACAACGACATTGAACTCTACAGCCAGTACCTGGAGCGCTTACGCAAGTTCATCTCACAAGATCTGTCTGGTTAATGCAGCTCCACCTGTCTGACCCTTCTGGCAAGGACCGCCCACCTTGACTGGGCCTGGGGAAGCAGAGGAAGCATTTCTGGCTTTCGAAGGAGAAGGCCACTGATGCTGCAAGCTCCATGTTCCCATCTGCAAAATGGGAGTAGTTCTATTCATCCTTCCTCTGTTGCAGGCTTAGTCTGCGCAGGGCTCTTGAGTCTCCCCTGGTGGTTCTTCCCCATCGCCAAGGGCCCTTTCCAGCTGTTCTCATTTCCAGCTGCTGTCCTGGCTGTAGATGGGCCTGAGACGGAGTCTCTAATTGCACCTCCTCGCGGGACTCCATAGGACTCGAGCGTTGCAGACTGTTCTAAACCATGAACATCTCCATCAGGGCTACCCTCTTGTGGCCTCCGTCCATCTTCTCACTTCCTGTGTCAGATCCCGTTTTCTTAACGCTCCGCGTGGTGACCCATTGATAGCAATAAGCCATAGGCAGGGTGGGGCGGGAGGCAAAGCACCTTGCATGCTGGCCAAAAACGGCTTGCTTCAGTTTGGCTGTCCAGCCCGCTGCAGCCCTTGAAGGACAATTGACTTTCATTCAGATTTCCCCAGGGGTGGGGATGGCAAACAACCACCTGGAATTTTTCACCCGGAAGCCTGCAAAAGAACTGTTTGTGGGATACAGCAAGGCTGCTCTACGCGTCTCGGCATTAATTGGGCGGGAGTGGGAGTCACTTGCCAGCTTCATCACAACTCCTAGATACTATTGTTTTAATATTCCATATCCTGTCCCCTCCAGATGTCCCCAGGGAATGGATTACATTTATTCCGGGTATTCAAGCAATGGGGAGAGATCGGGGTGGGAAGTACGGGAAGAATTCTCCATCCATTCATTTTGAAAGAGGAATAAACAAAAAATGAAAGATCCACATGCGTTTCCCACTAAATGTTTCTGGGAGACTTGGATAGGATGAATGAGTTGGAAGTTTGTGGAAGTCTGTACGTCAGGAAATAGAATTCCTGTAATGGTACTTCATTTTTTTCTTTAGGACAGTGTTTCTCAATTTTGGTGACTTTAAGATGTGTAGAGTTCAATTCCCAGAATTCCCCAGCCAGCCATGCTGCCCTTATTTTGGGACAGCCTTAGCGCAAGTGTGAATTACTAACTGTGTACAACAGGGGTGGGTTCTACTTACCTTTACTACCAGTTCACAATGGGATCGCATTACGGTAAGCTTCTGCGCATGTGCGGATCACTGATGATGACATCTGGGGTGGTGGGCAGGGCCTCCAGCCGGTTTTACTACCGGTTCTTGCGAACCGGTCCGAACCGGGGGCAACCCATCACTGGTGTACAAGCTTCCCTGTTAAATCCTATTCTCTATTTCTTTACCTCCTCCCTCTATAGCCTAATTTCAAATAGAAAGCCCCTTAATGGCTTAATGCAATGCCCCCCCCAAACCTTTTGGGCATCAGGGACCGGATCCATGGAGAGAGTTTATTCTGTGGACCAGAAGGGGTATGGTTTTGCATGCTGCCTGCATCCCACGGATGGGGCTTCGCTTGTTTGGGTGGCCCGGTTTCTGGTGTACCGCGGCCCAGTGCTGGTCTACAGAACGGGAGTTGGGGATCCCAGGCTTATTGGACTTATTTGTGTGGGCAGGGTGTGTGTGTGTTTAAAGATTTCTAGACAAACTTGTGACCGATCGGGTCACTCTTTGTAAGAAAGTGTGGTCTGATATGATCAAAATGAACACTAAATTTTAGGCTGACTTTTTTTTTTTTTTTTTTGTACCACTATGCTGGTGATCATCTAAGAACAGTATATATATATATCAGTGATGGTGAACCTTTTCAGCACCGAGTGCTGAAGAGGGAGCATGCGCTTGTCTGGGCCACAACCCGGAAGAGGAGCTGCCCAGGGCGCATGCGTATGCCCAAAAATGAACTTCCAGTTTCCGTTGCACGGATGTGCGCTGGTCAGCTAATTTTTCGGGTTTCTGGCATGCATGCGCATGCAACAATCAGCTGGCCAGCGCACATGCTCACGCAGGAAAACGGAGGTCCAGCTCTTCCAGTTTCCAGCACTGCCGCACGCACAAAGGCCAGATGATCATCACGGATGCATGTGCGCCAGAAACCCGGAAGAGGAACGGGCGATGCCGCGCATGCCAGGTGACATGGCTCCATGTGCCACTTTGGGCATGTGTGCCATAGGTTCGCCATCACGGCTGTGGTGAAATCTAAAATTTTTTACTACCGGTTCTGTGGGCGTGGCTTGGTGGGGGGGTAATGTGACTGGGTGGGCGTGGCCATTTTTTAAAAAAACTTTTAAAACCATTTTTTCTACAACCTCTTTGGCGAAGAAGTTGTAAAAAAAATGCTTTCAAAAGGCTCTGACGATCCCAGCTGAGTTGCCTGATCGGCAGAGACTTTTTTCCTTTTAAATGCCTCTGACGATCAGGCAACTCAGCTTGGATTGTCAGAGGCATTTAAAAGAAAAAAAGGGTTTTTTTCTTTTAAAAGCCTTTGATGATCCCAGCTGAGCCACGCGATCATCAGAGGCTTTTTTTTTTTTTTACTTTTAAAAGCATTTTTTTGGCCGAAGAGGTTGTAGGAAAAAATGCTTTTAAAAGTAAAAGAAAAGCCTCTGATAATTGTGCAGCTCAGCTGGGCATGGGGAGGGGGGGCCGGGATTTTTGCTACCGGTTCTCTGAACCACCCGCCTCCATCTCTACCAGATCGGGCGATCCGGTCCGAACCGGGAGCATTTCACCCCTGCATCACGAGTATATATCATAAACAGGAAATAATTGTATTGGCAAATTTACTTCAATAATGATAAGTCAATATTTACTTACCTAACCAAAGAAACAGAATGAAAAAGGGTGAATGAAAAAAAATCAGTGGGAGCAGGAGTGACTTCTGATTTCCTGCTGGCTTTCCCATTGACTTTGCTTGTGGGACAAAGGTAGGGAGCATCAGATAACACGACCAATTGACAGTAGAGACACTGCAACAGCCACAACTTTTGTCAATAAAACTGATCTGAGTATCATGGAAGCTTCAATTCCACAGGAGTCATGGTTCCCGGATTTTTTACTTGTTCTTTCAGCTCACAGATTTGAGGTACCTTGATTCAAAAATTGTTCCATATAATTGTTCCATCCATTTGAGCTAACTTGGGGATAACAAACAGACAAAACACGAGAGCTGTAATAGAATATAGATAGATGTTTTTAGTAACTTCACAATTCAAGTAATTATATTCTGCCAAGAGAGATCCAATTACTGAACAAAGAATAATACTTTTTAAGGCAGGAAACATATCACAATAAAAATATGCACCACAAACGTCAGATGGAATACATTAAATCCAAGAGGAAAATATGCTCAACTTGGAGCAACTTCCCCAAAATGGTGTATGGGGATTTTAATGCTTTGGGAATGAAGTGAACATGTGCTTCAGGTGCAGAAGTGGGTGTCAGCAGGTTCTGACTAGTTTTGGAGAACCGGTAATGGAAATTTTGAGTAGTTCGGAGAACCGGTAGTAAAAATTCTGACTGGCCCCGCCCCCATCTATTCTCTGCCTCCCGAGTCCCAGCTGATCGGGAGCAAATGGGGATTTTGCAGTAACCTTCCCCTGGAGTGGGGTGGGAATGGAGATTTTACAGTATCCTTCCCCTGGAGTGGGGTGAGAATGGAGATTTTACAGTATCCTTCCCCTGCCACACCCGCCAAGCCACACCCACAGAACCGGTAGTAAAAAAATTTGAAACCCACCAGTGTTCAGGTGGGAGTGGAAATGTGTTTGTGGTATCCACAAAGCAGAGGCATCCATGGGGTATCAAAAAAGGGTGACTATAAAAAGGGGTGGGTTACAGCCTCCATCTACTTAAAGAAAAACAAAAAAACTGCTCTCTGGATGCTGTCGGCCTGAATTAACAAGATGTCAGAGTTCCAAATAATGCACCCAAAGAAGGCGGAACTCCGAGGCAGGTAGATTCCTCAAGGAACGATTTATTGGATACTTCATATTGGCACAACTGGTGAAAACTGACCTTGAAGGTTCCCGCGGTTTTCACCTAATTAAAAAGTAAAATTTCCCCCCCTTCCCCAAGTCATCCTTCACATTGTCCAATCGAGGTGCTGGCCGGTTGCTTGGTTACTTCACTCTTCCTCTCCCAGCCACCTTCTTCTTCCTTGTGGCAACCCTGAAGCCTCCAAGATGGCCTCAGCCAAGCTCACTCCAGGGGTTGGCACAAGAAACATCAAGAGCTTACGTGCAGAATGTTAGCTGGATCAGACATAAGAAGACTAACTGGGTTTAGATATCACACTATAGTCTCAAGTGGTTTATTTAGTTCGGTATAGGCAGAAGTGGGTTTCAGCAGGTTCTGACCAGTTCTGGAGAACCGGTAGCGGAAATTTTGAGTAGTTCGGAGAACCAGTAGCGGAAATTTTGAGCTAGTTCAGAGAACCAGTAAATACCACCTCTGACTGGCCCTGCCCCCATCTATTCTCTGCCTCCCTAGTCCCAGCTGATCGGGAGGAAATGGGGATTTTGCAGTATCCTACCCCTAGACTGGGGAGGGAATGGAGATTTTACAGTATCCTTCCCCTGGAGTGGGGAGGGAATGGAGATTTTACAGTATCCTTCCCCTGCCACGCCCGCCAAGCCATGCCATACCCACCAAGCCACACCTACAGAACCGGTAGTAAAAAATGTTGAAACCCACTACTGGGTAGGGCTCCACTTCCGCTTTTGTGTTTCATAAACCATTATTTATTACAGAATAACTGTTAACAGACTTGGAAGGGACCTTGGAGGTCTTCTAGTCCAACCCTCTGCTCGGGCAGGAAACCCTACATCATTTCAGACAAATTGTGATCCAATCTTTTCTTTAAAATTTCCAGTGTTGGTGTGCCCACAACTTCTGGAGGCCAGTTTTTCCACTGGTTAATTGTTCTCCCTGTCAGGAAATGTATAGCTAAGCCTGTTGCATAAACCCAGTCTCCTGTAGTTTGGTCAGTAACAAGCTCACTTCTCGGTTTGATCTGTAAAGATCACAGGGTGACATCCAGCTGATCTCCCTTGCATGGATGTGCTTCTAACACAAGTTTTTTTTTTTTTTTACACCAATCAAACTTGCTAGTCAGAACCTTTTTGAAGGAAGAATGAAGAACAAAGAAAAAGAAGGGCAGAAATGCTGCTTCCCCCTTTTTACCAGCCACTTTCAAGCCTGTTTCCCTTTGGGAATGAACGAGGATGAAAAGAATTTTTCCCTCCCTTTTGCTCTTCCTTGGATAAGCTTCCCACTTGTCCCCGAGAGCCTCTTGATTCGCAAAGCTGATGGAACAGCCTGGAGCAACTTAATCCCGTGAGAGAAAACAAGGGTTGTGCCAAAGACACATGTATTTTTATCCTCCTAAGAGAACCCAGCTTCCTGTTGGAAAGAAGCAGGAGGAAGGGAGAACGGCTGGCGTGAGCTTGCCAGCCACAGGAAACTGGGCTGGGGGAACAATAATTTCCTTGTTTTCAAAAGGACACTAAAAACACAACCCATCACTGAACTGCTTTGGAAGATTTTAAAATGTTCACAACAGAACAGAATAGCACAGAATGACAGAGTTGGACGGGACCTTGGAGGTCTTCTAGTCCAACCCCCTGTTCAGGGAGGAAACTGTATACCAATTCAGACAAATGGTTGTCTAATCTCTTCTTAAAAACTTCCAGTATTAGAGCATCCACCACATGTTCACACTTACAAATGGATGTGATAAGGCACAATTTCGTGATTGGGGTTCCCTAAACATATGGAACAACAGGCCCCATCCTCCTTGGCCTGCATGGCTGGGGAAGGGGCATGCCTTACAGTGGTGGGTTTCAAAAATTTTTACTACCAGTTCTGTGGGCGTGGCTTGGTGG